TTTCACAACAACTGTCCCACTTTGCGATGCGCTCCTCTGATCTTCAATACTTCCCACTCCATCTACTGTAGTAGGCTTAAACTCTTCTTCTGCCTCAATCATCACTTCCTCTCTTTCTCTGAATCCACTACCGAGGTCGCTGGCACGTCCTGGCATTGATAATTTTACCCGATGTTTGTCCTTGCTTGTAGAAGCTACGTGCTCTCTTCCAAATTCAGCATCAGTTTCACTCTTGATGGTGGCCTGTTTGGTATAAATCTGCTCTTGTTCCTCCACAAGCAGGATATCTTCTGCATCCTCCACCAGGAGGCTTTCAAGTCCCATCACCACCTCCCCATTCTCCAAAGCAGTTCTGGGTGGCAGGACCTTTTCGCTTTGTTCTTCTGAAGGAGCAAATGGAAACTCAAGCTGCTGCGAAGCCAAGCCATTGCAAGGCTCTCTTTCGAGAGCTGCATTTGCCTTTATCTCCTCAAAGCCTTCACTCCCTTCCACCAGGTGTGCACAGGACCCATTTTCCTGGGTTTGGATGAGGGCTTTAGTGAGATTGTTCAATTCTCCATCTACTAAGAGTAGCTTCTGGCCATCATGGATGTTGATGTAGCTGTGGGTCATCAAGTGGAACATCAGCCTGTCATCATCACTCCTTAGCATAGGGTCACTTTGCTCTTTGTGACCTGTGGGACTCCTTCCAGAAGGGCTCTGGCCATGCCTGCTTCTGCTTGGAGAGCCAGCAAGCTGCACACTGGCCATGACATCAGGTATGACTGTTGATTTCAGCTTCTTCGCCACATCTCTCTCCAAGATGCCATGTTCAACTGCTTTCTTCCAGGACACCACCTCAGTGGTTTCTGGTATAAAGACAGCCTTAATGAGTTGCCTCTTGCTGAGAATCTTGTAAACCAGCTCCGTAGACAGAATTCCTTGCTCTAAAGCATCTGCAACTGGGACAATCTCCCCCGTCTCTGGCCACAGGAGCCCCATGAAGGACCACAGGGATTCCAGGACCACCAATGCTTCTTTCCCCACAGCTTCATCAACTGTCAGTCTCTTTCCCGTGATGGTATCGATGATGCCACCTGTCTGAAGCTGCCGGATAAGAAGTCTGCATGCTAAATCCTGGTCAATTAAATTGTGTCTCACGGCCTCGTCCACAGTCAGCCTATGCCCTGTCCTGGGGTCAACAATGCCACCAGCAAAGAGTTGGGCTTCCAGCAACCTGATCATTACCTGCCTGTCTATCAGCCCTTCCTGGATGGCACGGAAGATGTTGACTTTTTTGCCCGATTTCAAGCTCACCACCCCGCCTGCCAGCTGCTTGACCGGGAGCAGCCTCAGTCCAGTCTCATGGTGGATGATGCACCGGTACATGAGCTCGAACAGACTGATTTTCTCAGCGGTGTTGGGGTCAATCAAATCTTTGCTACCCTCCAGGTGAGACAGAAGTCTGGAATAAAGCTGGGGGGTAAGGAGCCTTTCTTGCATCGCTGTCTCCATGCTGATTCTGCCCTGATGGACTTTAAAGCCCCCAGTGATGAGCTCAGCTTCAAGAATCTTTAGCCCAATGCTCTCACTGATCCTCCCCTCTTCTATCGCAGCAACGACAGGTAGGAGCTGCCTCCCTTCACGTCTGACTTCTTCCACCCGGTGGAGAGCATCCTTCAATTCCTGCAGCACCTGGAACGTCCTGAGATCGATGATATTTCTTGCCAGACCTTTCTCCAAGGAGAGTTTCTCATTGGTCTCTGGAACAACTAAGTCAGATGTGATAACCTGGGCCTCCAAGAGGACAAGGCCAGTGTCCTGATCTATAAGACCTCTCTGCATGGCACCAAAGACAGGGAATATTTCTACCGTGCCAAGGTCGATCACTCCTGCTACTGCTTCGCTGCCCTAGAACAGAAAGAAAAGGGAAAGAATTAAATCAAAATCGAGCATTTCCAGCACTCGGATTACACGAATTCCAGGGAGGTCTCAGTCTCCAATAAAAGTTTAAAAACCTTAAATAGACTAGAAAGTGAGTCCCGAAGTGTTTGAAATGCAACTCCAAAGGCATCACAGCACACAAATTGGTGCATTTGCCAGCTTGCACATTGCCAGCAAGTTTTAATGCTCATCTAAGTCCATCACCCAGGGCAGCACCGAGATGCTTCGAACATCCACCAACAGTAACGCAGCAAAGCGGCAAGCAGCAAAACCCAGAAGTGCTCCTAATGCTCCACGGAGAAACAGAGGGAAGGAGGCCAACAAGCACACCAAAACTGTTCAACAACTCCAGTTTTGAAAAGTAAAGACAACACGAATCCCACTGTGTACTCATAGAGGAGAAAAAAAACAACCCAGAGATGTCCACCTCAGGGTATCTAGGAATTTCTCCCAGCACAGCTTCCACGCTGACTCCTGCCATGCTTTAAATCCTGCACGTCCCAAGCAGATCTCAAGTACCAGGACGGCCGGGGAACACCACCGAGCCCCGTGCCATGGAGCAGCTCCCCAGCCACGCAGACCGGCCATGCATTAGGGCAGGGGTGCTGCATGCAGGGCAGCTCCCCCAGCACGACCACCGACACCCGCTCTGCCCGGCTCCAGCACCTCGAAGTAGCCGTGCTCTTCAGACAGGGCAAGGGGGAAAAATCTAAGAAGTTGGAGGCCCCAGCACGGAAACAGTGACAGACTGGGAACAGACCATCTACTTTGGTGTTTCTGGAGGGGCTTTTTCTCTTCTTGCTGGTATCCCCACAGGGAGAGTCAGAATTAAGATGATAAAGAGTAACAGCTCCTTGGACGTTTGGGTTTCTCCCAGCCCCACTGGCTGGGTATAAGGTTGGCGCAAGCACTAAAAGATTTTTGTGGGGATAGGGAGGAAGGAATTGGGATTGCAGAATGAATTTCTTTTGCATCCCCGACACCCTCTGGTTTTGTTTTAATCAGTGAGTCTAACAGCACAGGCGGCTGGGGGTGCTTTGTAGCTGCGGCACAGCTCAGTGACGGCACCGCAGAGGATGCAGCCTCCACCAGGCTGGTTTGCAGATCCCCCCCACTGCCTTCTGCGGCGGGGCGAACCTGCTGGAAAACCCTAAGCTCTCCACCATCATCACCAGATCTGACATGCACGTTCGGAGACGAACAAGCCGTGAAAGGACAGAGAAGAGGAGGGGAGGGGAAAAAAGAGAAAGATAAAAAAGGAGATGGGAGGGAGGGGGGTAAAAGGCTTTTACTTACCCGAGTTGCAGGGTGTGCCTTGAGCAGTTAAAGACAGAGCCTTATGGAGCAGTTCAGCCGTATCACACACAGTGTAAAGCTTGGTGTTAGCGTCCAGCATGCGACTGTTTTGTTTGCAAAAAGAACCCCACACACAGGTCGTCCTCTTTCACTTTGTGTGTTTTGTTTGTTTAAATCCCGGAGGGTTAGTTAAACTTGTAAGCAAGGATGTCAGTTAATCTTAAAAACAGTTGACATGAAACACAAACTGTACAGGGACACATCATGCTCAATTTAGCGCGTTCTGCTTTGCATTTTTTCTTTTATAACTTCTCTCTGACAGTTGGATGTTTCCAGCAAGCAAATGTTAAGAGTTCCTCATGCTCCCTCTACAGTGAAGCAACTGCACCGCACAAGAGCCGCAGGGATCATCTCGTAGACGGGGATCTACGGTGAAGCCCCGCTGCCATCTCTCGTTTTGTTTCCTGGGCTTTGTCGAGAGCGTGAGTGAAAACTGTTCCAGCCCGGGGCCCAAAGCGTGCTCATGCTGTACGAGAACAGCCTGGCAAGCCCGGGCGAAGGCTTTTGCTATAAAGTTATTTTCCTGCCTGGGCGGGAGGAAAAGGGAAAGGAAGAAGTATCCTTTCCATCGACAGGCTGCTCTCGGCTGCTCTCCTGGCAGCAGCAGCAGAAGCATCAAAGCCGTGATGGCTTAGTGGCAGCTAAGGGGTCGGTTTGCTCACCGTAAGCTTGCTGCTGCCAGCACGAGGGCTAAAGGGCTTGCAATAGAAAGCGTTCACTGCACTGAGTTGCCCGAAATGTGCTATGAAGTCCAATTTGGAGAGAAACACTGTGTGCTTAGGTGAAAGCGGGACAGGCAGATTTCAAAGCAGCAGCCCCGTCGCCCTCTTCCCGTGAGCGGCTCGAACAGGGCTTCACTCACAGACCCAACAGCCACAACCTGCGTCACGCCTCCAGATCTGAGCGGGCCGTTGCTTCAGAGTACAGGGAGCCAGCAAGCAAACACACAAATATATCCATCGACACATGTATATACACTTAGATAACACGTACACGTATATCTGTGAATGACCGAAGACAGCTCATAACAGAGGCAATAAGGATGCGCTTTCAGCCCTCCCAACCCAACGAAACAAGGACAGGGGCTGACGGGAGCGCTGGCGGATGTGAACAGGGAATGGGTCCAGCCACGGGCCGTGAAGGTCTCCCGGGTCAGCCGAGGGACGGGATGGAGCAGTCGCCTCTGCTGTGGAGAGCAGCTTCACTCAACCACAGCTGAGACAAACCTCTTGCCAGATCCCGAGATACACGAGACCACACGGGCAACTGCCCTTCTGCAGAAACCCACCTTCTTGTGTCTCCTGCACACAGGCAGCCTGCGAGACGGAGCTCTCTGCGGTTAAAGCACCGAGAGGGCATTGCTCAGAGGACACAGATTTGCTAAGGGGACTGTTTCCAGGACAGAAGTCCATCTAAGTCCTTGCCCACCAACGGTGAACAAGCCAACCCTTGTGCACAGGGCAGAGCTCTGATGAAAACCATTGCAAAGGATGACCTGGAAGGCAGCAGGTAAACGGCTCCTGCTTGGCCTCCACCCCAGCCTGGATGCTTCAGGTGACGCATGGACAGAAAAGAAGGGAGGGCAACCACGTGCAAGTAAGAAAGTTGATGGGCTGTGAGCCACTGGTGGCCATGAGACACGCAACCAAGCAAAACCTTTTTTCAGACCTTGAGGAGTGCCCTGTGCCCGTGCAGCCACGGGACTGAGCGGGGACCAGTACCTTGTGCTCCGTCTCCTGAGCCAGCTGGCTCTGGAGCTGCTGGAGCTGCTCCGTGGAGTCGCTGCAGAGTGCCTGGTAGGTCTCCTTCAGAGCACCGATCTGAGCAGAAATCTGTTCCTTCTCCAGATGGGAAAGCCTGCAAGGGGAAAGGGAAATCTCTCAGGGAATCTGCACAAACCAGCTTCCAGCTCTGCAAAATTAACATATTCTGGTGAAGGAAAAGGCCAAATCCACCACGAGCCCCCTCTTCCCACTGCCACTGTCACTCCTTGCCTGGCTCAGCTAAAACTTGCAAGGGTAACTGTGCTCAGCAGAGCATCGTAAGGATCAAATCCCCAAATATAAGGGGTTGGATCACTACTAAAGGGGATTAATATTGTCACAGCAGGATAAATGGGTTGCGTATTTCATAGCTCTTCTTGCAGATGAGAAGAAAAGACAACTTTCATGTGCAGCCTGTCACTGTTTTCAATGGGAGTGGGGCACTGGACCCCAGGGACACCAGCCCACCAGCACAGGCTCTAAGGTAGCTCAGCTTTCCCTGCCTGGCCCTTCCTTGGGCCACACTCACTTGTGACTGTGTTTTGCCAGGAAGATTTGTGAAGTTTTGATGGCCTCAGAGACCTGCTCCTTCTTTGCAGCCAGCTCCTCATTCAGGGCCTGTCAAAAAAATGAAAGAAAGAAAGAAGTTTAATTCAGCTGTGGAAAAAGAGCAGAAGTTAAACGACTTGCCTGACGGTTGCCCCCAGTTTACCTGCTGCTCCGAGATGGATTTCTCGATGTCGCCCAGCTCTCTGCTCCCGGCAGCAGCCATCCTGCCTTGCGTGCTCTGCTTCAAGCCCAGGGCCCAGCCCAGGAGCTCCTTCACCTTGTCCACATGCTCCTGCTTCTCCTCCTCCACTACTTTCTGCAAACAGAGGAGGGAGGAAGATAACCGTGTCAAAGGGGTCCCAGATCTCCAAAGGCAGAGAGGCTCTCGGGAGCAGCGCCCGAGGCGTAACCTGAACGTGGAGCAGCGTCCCTGGGGGCATTAGGAAATGAGCCTGCACATTTTGAATGGAGTTCAGTTCCATACATCGCCCTTACCTCCTCCTCCTCCAGCCGCCGGAGAGCATCACTGATGTACTTCACGTGCTGCGTGGTTAACGTTACCAGAGCTGTATAGCGAGTCCGCAAATCCATGAACTGCGAAGGGAGAGAGGGAGAAACGAGGCGCATCAGTCACGACCGGTGGATCCAGAGCGACATACTTTACTGTACATGACACGGATGAACCATCTCTCGCTTGGGAAGCCCCCCAGGCACCTCACAGACCCGGTACGGCATCAATGAAATGCAGCGAGTCTGACGGGGAGGGTTGTGGCCACACACGGCATGCTGCACAACACTGGAGCGAAGGGGAGACTCCGGTCACGGACACTGGGGCAGATGCTCAACTCTTACAAAGAGGGCTAGCGGGATCTTTAATATCCACACGGAGCAGACAGGACCTCGGGTCCCTAAAGGTCTCATCCCAAAGATCCACACACAGTAACGCTGCATGGCGCTCTGGTTATTTACCTCGCAAGGCTGAAGGGCTGAGCCGACCCCGCTGGATTTGACCCAGGGGTTCCCAGGAGTCTAGGTATTTCATACCTGGTGCTTAGAGCACTAAGCCATCCTCTCTGGCTATTGGAAAAAACAGCGAGGGTGGAAACTTTATGTATACAAGAGAGTTCAGCAGAAAGGAGCTCATTTCACCGAGGCTGCTCGGCGGTTTGCTCAGCGTCGAAGAACCCCCCCACACACACAATTTCTCCCTCACAAGGGTGGGCGGGCAGGCGCGCTCCTACCTCCTGCGTGATGGCGTCCGAGGACGAGAGCATGCGACGGCGTTTCATGGGAGACTTCTGCTGCGACTCGACAAACGCCCTGTATGTCATGAGCTGCAACTCATAGTCCTGCAAACGCAACCAGGGGTGGAGAGACATGGAACATGTGAGATGCAAACTGTGCTGGGGCTGTTTCTGCCCAGCTAGCCTTATCTAGGTGCAGCAGGAGGGAACCTGTACCTTGACGGCAGCCGAGTACTGCTGGGAGAATTTCTGACACTGGTCCAGTTTGGCTTGATTTTTCTCGATTTCTGCAGCCAAAGCCTTCAAGAAAATTCAAAGTGAAGATGGTTGTCAGGATAGCTGCCGCAGGTGGTGGGCTGAATTTCAGTCCCCATCCCTCTCCCTTTGGGTAAACTCTTTATACTCTTCAATTTTTTTATGCAAGGCCTCATCTCCACCTCAAGCTAAGCAGAGTTTCTCCGCTTCCCAGACACCCAGCTCAATCCTGCAGCCTCTTCCCCACTGTTTCATATTTTTAAGCTCACAGATGAAAAGATTTTACTAAAAGAAAAGAAAGGACGCGGTCACTGCAACGATCACACCATCGAGACGCCACAAGGTCCTGCCTTACCGTCTGCTGGCTCAGCTGCTCCGACAGCACCCGGCTGTCCTCCGCCTGCCCAGGCTTCATCAGCTCCTGCTGGACCGTGATCTCCTCGATCCAGTGGATTAGGGCACTGTGGCACTGCCGGTAATCACTCAGCACCTCCTGGATGCTCTCCAGCTCTGCGTGGCTGAGAGAAGAACCAAGACAAATAAGAAGAGGGCAAAAAGCCACCGTAGGCTATAGGGATTATCCCGGCCACCAGCGTGAATCCCATCTGGAAAAATATTGCTGCTAAGAAGCCTGACCCAAGCTCTCAGCTGAAGCATGAAAGTAAATCTGTGAAAGGAGGCAGGAGGTTTCTCACCGGGTCTCAATCTGGGCGCAGACTCGCTGCCAGCGGTCCCACAGCTGGCTTCCCTTCTCCTGATAGCGCTCGAGGTCGATGCTGCGCTCTTGTCTCAGCCGGTACAGCTGCTCTCCCACCGCCTTTGCTTTTGCCATCTCTTCCTCCAACGTGGAGAAGACAGAGCTCTTGTCCTTCACTTCTCCAAGCCATTGCTGCAAAACCAGCAAGAGACAGCACCGGTTCAGCGTCATGGAAAGCAAAAGGCACAGTAAGTCAGAGATGCCTTCCAGCCCGGAGCTGACAAGCCTGAGAAGCGGTTTATCCTCCCGCTCTCCTTAACCTGCAAAGAACTGCCTGATTACAGGAGGTGCAAAATGGAGAGGACCGTGTTCGCAGCTTGCAGCGAGTCAGATTGGTTCAGTCCCTGTCCTACAGCCCCTGTAGCTGCCAAGATGCTCACATGTGTCAGCATGTGCCCTACAAGAGTGGGCACGAGTTGCAGCAGCTCCTTCACCTTTACAAAGCGATAAGGGATCACATAAGCACACAAAATCCTCCTGGCTGCTGTATCAAGGCAAGAAAAATGGCGTACAGTACAAATTCAGCAGAGAAAGGGAAAGACCCTGCTCGACAAACGCCAAAGCTCTGGCCAGTTTCTGCCTGCCCACCTTGGGAAGCGAACACCACCAACCTGTAACGCCGTTCTGTGAGACTGAATAGCCGCCAGGTCGGCGGGGACTGCCTCCTCTTGGCTCAGCTTAACCTCGTACCCTTTCACCAGAGACTCCGCTCCTTGGGTGTTACGAACAATGACATCAACTGTCTTCAACCTGGCAAATCAAACAGAGGCAGCACAATGACATCCAAAATTTTGCAGAGATCCTCTTGATCGCGAGGCTGCTTGCACTGTGTGCCACAGTGGGATGGAGCTCAGGCCAGAAGAAAGGGCTTCAGCAGAATCAGGCAGATACAAAAAGGTATTTGGGAAGAAAGGCACGTCCTGACTCACTTGTCCAGGTAGGTGGAAGACAGCCCATACATCTGGTCCATCTTGTTCACCACCAAGTCCAGTTCAGAACGCAAGTGGGGCGTGCTGGACCCCGCGGGTGCCTTGTCGAGGAAGCTGTAGCATCTCTCAGAAACAAACCGCAGGTCCGATTGCAGCCGCTGCAGATCCTCCTGCATGCGCTACAGGAGGAAGGGAAAGAACATGAAAGGAGAGCCCAAGCAGGTGGAGAAAAAGCAGGATTGTCCTTGGCAAAGGAGATGGGCATGAAATGAAGCAGGGAGCCCACCCAGAGAGGTTTTCTGCTACTTTCTGTGCAGCAAGATCCTCTTGAACCCCACACAGTCATGCACCCACCACCCACACATTCACCATGGAAAAGTTAAAAGCTGGTTTTGGTGCTTGCTAAAGACCAGCGGCCACCACCTCTCTCCCCTCTACATCTCACAGCAGCAGGACTGACCTCCTGCTCTGCAATGCGGATGGTGTTTTCCTGGATAGTATCACCATCTGCTCGGGCGCCGCTTGGGGACTGGATTCGGTTCACTAGCCTCTGCTCACACTCCTCCAGACGCAGACGGATGTTCTTCAGCTCTGAGAGATATGTCCTGGCAACGGTCTCATCCTTGTCCTCTGCAAGTGACAGACAAACCAAAACAGCAGCTCAAACAACTCCAGCCGGTATCTGTCCCAAATGGGACCCGCCGGGAGCCCATCTCCAACAATAGTAGGGTGAGAGGACTCAGCAGTTAAACCGAAGCAGCAAAGCAAAGCCCCCTCTGCAGGAATATTGCTGGACAAAGGCCGAACACTTGAATGGATGGAGAAAAAAAAGGAGAGCAGCTGCTCACACCATCAACTAGCTAGCTCAGAAAAAAAGAGAAAATGAAGCCATCCCATAAATCCTTTGTTTATGATTCCCCACAGCTCCTGGTTAATCCATCAGCCCTTTGAAGCTCACCGTTCTCCATGGACTCCAGCAGCTGCCGGATGTGTTCCTTGGAAGACTCCACTTCCTCCTCCAGGCGCAGCCGGTCGGACACAGAGAAGAGCTCCGAGTCCCGGCTGTCCTGCAGGAAGTCCTCGTAGTGCGCCTGGAGGCTCTTCATGGCTTGCTGGCACTCCCCTTGCGCTAAGGATCTGAGCTGCAGGTGGAAAAGCAGCACATCAAACCACTGGGAACAACTTCCTACCCATCACCTGAAGCCACCCTCCCCGGCTTAATCACCTTCGTTTGCCAACTGAGTATTTCCCCTTTAGAGAAGAGACAAGCTCCCCTGTATCAGCCTCACGCCGCCCTCCGGCCTCACTCGCTCCCTAATGAAACGCTAAGGCCACAACCTCTTATGCGAATTACAGTTCAGCAGCGAACTGCTGATGCTCTTTTCATTGAGAAAAACTGCCATCGTTTTGCAGAGAACCCCCAGGCTCAGGTTTTCCCACTGTTCAAGGTGCAAAGACCCTTGACTTCCCCAACCTTGCAGTCTCTGGTCTTCCTTTTAACACCTCCCTTCCTCCTCAGCCACAGGAGGAAGCCTGGGCAGCGAGCAACGCAGCCCCGGAGCCAGGCAGAGAAGTTCCTACTGTACCTTTTCCATGCTGAAGCTCTGCACCAGGGCTATGTCCTTCCGCAGGTAGTTCCAGGAGATGAGGCTCTTTGTGTTCATGTGGAGCTGGTGCCAGAGAGCCATCACCTTCTGGTACAACTGTTCTACCCTGCAAAGGGAAGGAGCAGATCCGTCAGCCCTGGACCTCCCCAGCACGCCCAGCCCTGACGCAGTTAGTCCACCAGCCAGCCAGCAGCCCCTCAGGGCAGTGACCCCAGCCTGGCAGCCCACGATGCTCCTGCCGGTCAGTGCCAGCGATCCCTCCTCCCAAATCCCCATTTTCTCTTTTGCAAGCTACTACAACAGTTGTTGCTTGGGATTTGCAGCCGTAAAACCACGAGGGACTCCTTCCCTTGCCCCAAATCAGCTATGCCACCCACTCCTGTTCCTCCACCCCCAGCTCCTCTCCCATTCCCACCCCAGAGCCATCCCCTCCCGTGCCACCAACCCCCTCCCCATCTCCCCCGCAGCACAGAGCACCAAGTTACCTGTTGGCCATCTCAATGGCCTCCTTGTTGGGCGGGGGGATCAGGAAGCAGACAGAGGGCACCATGGCCTCGTTCCCCGTGGGGCTGATCACCTTCCACTTGGTCCTCTGGGAATTGTCCTCCAGCACGCACTCGTCGTTCCTGCAGATGGTGATCTGCGGCGGCACCAAGGCCACCCGGCCCATCAGAGACCAGCAGCGGGGCTGCACACGCCTCCCCTCACTGCCAGCACCCCTCCTGGGGGCGAGCCAGCTTTCATAAATCTATAGATACAGATATTTTAATCAAGCAAAAGCCTGGTGTAGTGCCAAGCAGTGCAGCACATTCGTGTCTGGAGGAAGGGACAAGGAAGTTAAACGGAGTTGGCTACCACCCATGTGCCTGTTTGGCTGAGGCTGATGAAGCCCATCTTCCTTGGGGAAAAGGAGTTTAGCTCCTGCCCAGAATAAATCTGACACATGGAAATCTGCTCTGGGAAAAACAGCCGTGCTATTTCCCTCCTCCTGTCTTCCCACTCTGTTCCTGCTTTCCATTGACAGACACCACAGAGCTCATCCTCAACGATCACGGGCGTTGCTCCCCTGCCTCCCCGTTCAAAGTCACCCCATCGTCCTTCCAGTACTCACCTCGATCTGCCGATAGTCACAAACAGCCTTGATGGGGATCGTGCTTTTCACAACGTGCTCCGGGTTCCTGGGCCGGAGCTGAACGATGGTTTTGGACCGTCCCACCAGGCTGGCAACGGAGCTCTTGGACTGAATGAGCTGCTCCTTCTCGTCCTGGCAGAAAGAAGGACGGAGGACGGGTTGCTCGAGGCAGGGGAGAGGAGGTTTGTCCCAGCATCTCGGCACCCCCCACCCCAACGCTGGCCTGCAAGAGCTACGCTGGGATCTCAAGGGTTCAACAAACACGTCAGGAGGATCCTGCTGCCCTGAGGGGATGGGAAGAAGGGTCAGGAGAGATGGGATGGAAGGGAGATCTGATGTCAAGTCAGTGGTGGGACCTCTCCACTACTACTCCCACTGCCCTGCAAAGCTGCATGCATGCCTCTGGCTCTTTTGCTGCTAGGACAAGAAAACACTGTTTTTTCAAAAGGGAACAAAAGAGAACACAGCATACACCAAAATTAAAGGCCCAGGAGGTGTAAGTGGCCAAGAGCAGGACAAGCTCCAGCCCAAAGCCAGGGACGTTCAGCTGTCTGGAGGAGACACGACAGAAGCATGCTCCCTTTTCTAAAGCAAAGGATGAAAGCATGTTTAAACCAAGGGCTGGAATGGGGAGACGATGAATTATGTGGATAAAACATCTCAGGAGAAGGGGCTAGTGGTGGAGTGATCGCACAGGTCTCTGGGTTTGGGTAGAAATTTGCTGGTTGGAGGAAGATAATTGATTCCCACAAGTCCCTGCTGGGTTCGGTGATGGGATAACCCAGGGACCTGGTGGCAAAGCTCCCCTAGAACAGCCTCCGCCATCGATGGAGACGTGTGCGGATCACGACACTGGCAGCTTGTGTGGTTAGTGGCAGCTCAGCCCATTCTGGCTGCAAAAATTTAAAAAGGATCCCAGAAAAATGTTCTCCCTCATGCTTGGTACTCTCAGGGTTGGTTAGTGTGCTAACAACAGTGGAAGATAATTTAATGATTTAAAAAAAAAAAAAAAAAGAGAAAAGAATAAATGATTAAATAAACTACCTGTGCCTGTCCCAGGGAGCATGATTGGAAGAAATACAACTTTAACTCATTAGGTAAGAAAGAGTAATATAGCTGAGCTCAGGGCAGCTGCCCCAGTCCTGAGACAGTGGCCACTCTCTGGCTGCCCAGACCAGCCTCTCCCACCCCGGACGGCGCCTGCCAGGCTCCTGGCGTTGCAGGGCTTGCCAACAGGGACCCCAGGAGCCAGGCTGGCTGCTCCATGTCCTGGCAGTGCTGGAGGACAGACCAGGACAACCCTGAGATCAGAACAGAGAAGATGGAACCTCCCAGGCCTCCAGGAGAGAAGACGGCGAGCCCTAGCCCAGCTGATGCACCCATCACGAACACCCAGTAACGGCATCCCAGCTTCACCGGGACACGCTGACAATCAGTGGTGTGCCCTAAGAGCAAAGCCAAAGCAGCCACCTGCCTCTGCACCCTCAAATGTCACCTCCTTCCACTTCCACCACCGGCTCAGTGGTCATCCCACAGCCCAAATCCTCCCCCATCCCGGTTTCAAGCACCACCTGATGCTTGTTCTTTAGGTTTTGTTTTTAGGTTGGCTTTTTTTTCAGGCCAATTCGGACAAGCAGATCACAGCGTGATTGCCCATCATCTGCTCTCTGCCACGCCGCAGCTAAGCCAGGCCACGTGTTCAGAGATCAGCGCTGCCGAGCCCCCGAGGCCCCGTCCCCGGTCGGGCTGCCCTGGCTCTCCCCTCACCAGCATAGCGCGATGGATTAACAGCGGATTTGGTCTGGATAAAAAGCACACGTTTCTCCGCATCCCAGCACACTCCTAGCAAGCACCAGCTCGAAAGCAGAAAAAGGAGCATCCTACGGCTCTGCCTGACGCCTCCGTCAGCAGAACACGACCGGCTCCACACTGACCAGGATGGCACGATGGGCACCGATGGGCATGAACCAGCTCAGATGTTTTACTTTCCCACATTTCAAGCCATGAGCTTGCGCAGATAGCGCGTGCCGCCTGCGCTTCACCCCGAGGATACAGAAAGATGCTGCCCAGTGCCTCTAAACACCACGGCCTTGTAACGACCGAGATCCGGCTACCATCAGCAGCGTTACAGCCACGCAGCCTGCACCCCGTGGCCACGTACGAAAGCGTGCAGCAAGCAGATCCAATGAAAAGCAGAACATCGACCGAGATGGGGAAACAAACCCTGTCACACAAAACTGCATCGCTGCAGGAATAAAACGAGCCCATTTTGGGGATGTCAGAGAACCCACCATGGAGTCCTGCAGCAGGTCCTCCAGCCGCGTCAGGCTCGTGTTGTGGTCGCAAGAATACTTCCTCTTGATGGAGTCCTGCAGGTTGCGCAGGTAGGTCTCTGACTCCCGGGCATCGCTGAAGAACTGCAAAGGCAAAGAGGGTGAGGGAAACCTGCACAAATCCACCGAGCAGCCAGCAGCACGCTGCAGGCAAGGGACTACCCCAACATCTCAACCCGCAGCTCCCGACGCTATTCTGGCCTCAGGGCTGCAAGGGCAGCGAGCATCCCACACGGATGGCCAGAACTAGAGGGAAGTTGATCCCTTCTGTCCTAGCGAGACATCCCCAGAGAGCAGCTACGGAGAAGGAGGTGGTTCAGGAGAAAGCAGCCCCCATGACCACCACAAATCCCTCCTTCCCTCTCCCCCAGAGGGAGCAGCAGCGTGTGAAGCCCACGCAGCGGGACGCAGCGGATGGTGACCAGGGAAGTTTGGGCTGTCCCTCCCAAGTACCTGGAAATAGGCAGCGTTCTCCTTCACGTGCTGTTCCACACACAGGCAGAGCTGCTTAATCCACTGCCACTGAGTCTGCACGGCAGCGCTGTACGCCTGACAAACACACACACCAAACGGCGATGACTAACGAGCGTTTACCAGCCAGGAGGGTCACAGGAAGGACACAGCTACAGCCGGCGGGATGTACAGAAACAGGCATGATCTGGCTGCAACCAGGAGGGTTTGGACAGGACAGGAGACGATGCCGGGGGCTGCAGCAGGCACAAGTTTGTTTTCTCCCACCCCAGAGAGAAACACTAGGTAGAAACATGTCCCCGCAGCCCTTTGTTTCACCACCGCGGTTTTCCTGCAAGCCTGGGTAACTCCAAACGAGCCGAGGCCATTCCCTGCATCGCCTCGCTGCAGGAAAAGGCTCGCGCTCTGTACAAGCATATCTGTGCCTTAATTTGAGGTGGGGATTATTTGGGAACGGCCTTGAGCTTCTCATTGCGCTCCCCAGAATAAACCAGCTCTATCACTGCACTGATGTTCTTCTGCCACCATAAAACACTTCATCAGCCCTGGCTGTCCGTAAGGGCACCCTGGGGTGGGGCAGCAAGTTTCCCAATCCCGGGTGAGAAGACTTGCTGCCAGACAATTCTCCTCCTGGCCCCTCCGCGTCCCCGCTCACCTCTACGGTTTGCTTGGCCGGGTGGTTCTCCAGGGACAGCAGCTCGGCTGTGTCTTGGAGGGAGCGGAAGATGTCCTGCTTCTCTTCCAGCTCCGTCGTCAGCTCCTGCGCGAAGGATACAAGTCCAAATCTTGGCTACGGGGAGCAGCCTGCACGTGGAGCACGTGTCCGACTAACACAACGTGCAGTATGGGAGCGGATCTCGGGGAACCAGCGCGGCTTGTGGGAGCCCTGCAGCCGATTCCCATCGGGATGCCTCCTAGGCACCAACACACGGGGCGGATGTGACACAGATACTGGAAACCTGCCCGGGGACCTCTTCAGTTCCAGACAGTGTGATTATGGAAAGTCAGCAATTTATTTATACTGCGTTAAAGAGCAATCAATTTTCCTCTTTTGCCCATACTTCCCCCCCCCCAGCTAGTTAAGGATGCCTTTAGTTCACATAGTGCTGAAAAGCCATCTTTTGATGCCTTTTCGATTGAAACGTCATTGAACAGACACATTTTGCACCTTCTGCTCTAGGGAGAGCTCTTTCATCAGCCGCACTCATGAACTACAAACTCAGTGACTTGGAAGGGAGCATCAAACCTCTGGGAACTTCAGGTCTGTGAGTAGCTGAAGGTCCCACAGCAGATCAAAAGCAGCAGCAGCACAACCAAGAGAGCACCCGTCCCACCAGCCCTGCCCGGGGTCACTCACCAAGAAGTAGTTTCTCTTGGCTGCAATGTTAGGGTTGTTGTCGCTCCAGTCGTAGGCCAGTTCCTCCTCCTCCTTCTCATTCAGCCAAATCAGCTCAGCAGTGGCCCGAGACACAAACCCGTGTAAGCTCTGGAGGTGTCTCAGTCGGAAGCTTGAGGTTTCCTGAGCACAACAAAGTGTGATTCCTCTTCCCTGCTCTGAAGGCAATCGGGTTCTTTTCCCCTCCCCAGTGTCGGAGCAGGGATGCACCCACGCTCCCCGGGCAGTGCTAGAGGCCCACTCACCATCAGCTTGCAGTACTGCGTCTCCAGCTTGCCGAGCGTCTCCGTGTAGCTAGCGCGGAAATTCTGAGACATTTTACCCTGAAGGATGAAAAAATGCTCCTGTTACCTGACACAGGACGGCATCACTTTGAAACCCCATCTCCAAATCTTTCTCCCCAGCTTTGCGGGAGGAAGAGGAGGCACAGAGGACGGCTCAGGGCAGCAGCCTCCTGTGCCAGCCCAGCGTTAATTTAGAAGCTCTGTCCTTAAAAAATATCTCTGCCTCAGACACCTTTACCCACAAGAGCCGATCCCGATGCCCTCACCTTCCCGTCCACGTTGTGCCACGCACTGTGTCACCCAGCTTGTGCCACCATACCTCGTACATCCTGGCCTCCTTTACACTGGAGCCCAGGTCCTCCACGCTGGTGTGGACGTGCCGCTGGGTCTCCAGCTGGGTTTCCACACTCGGTAGGTCACTCCCCCACTCTGCCCGCTCCAGTCTCATCTGAAACGGGCCAAGAGGTCCAAGTCAGCACTCCTCATCTGCAGGACCATATCTCAAAAGGACACAAGGGCAAGGAAACCTTGAGGTCACTCAAGAGGGAACGAACACCACGTCAATTCCGGTGGAAGGTCCTAAAGCTCCAACACTGAACGATTTCCAGGACAGTCTACACAAGCTTCATAAGACCACATAAGACCAAAGGACTGACTGGATCAGAACAGATTTGCTTTCAGCTTTCAAAGGATCTTCTGATTACCCATTGAACAGCAGGATCAAAAGAGAGAAAACCCAACTCAAGACAAAAGTATTGGTGCCCTCCAGAAACTTTGAACCATCAAAACAATTATTCAGAGATAAAGGTAGGAAAACGCCCAGACCAGGTTCCTACCTGCCCACATCAGCATGAGCAGAGACAGGTAATTTGGCCCAGAGAGCCAGCACTCACCTGCATTTCCTCCACCCAGGCCAGCAGCTCGTACACAAACCGGAGGCTGCCTTCGTCTTCGGTAGAGGAGATGGCCACCAGCTCTGTCCTGGTCATGGGCTTCCGGAACCAGGAGGCAGACGTGGTGTGCAGCCCTTTCGTCAGGGACTCGCCCTTCAAGTGCGTTGTGCTCAGCATGGAAGGAGGCACCAGCTCCACGGTGGAGAAGTGGCCTTTCCTGTAGAGGTTAGTGCATTCCAGCCTCAGCGTCACCAGCTCGTCTTGCAGCCGCATGATCCTGGAGGAGCAAGCAAGGCATGGGTAAGAAGATGCACACACGGTCTCTCCTTCACAGCAGAGCGGAGGAGCCTGACCACATTTCTCCACCCATAGAGCATCTCGGACACAGCCTCTCTCACCTGAACACCAGCTCCTCCAGCTGGTAATAATTCTCATCCCGAAGGATCTGCACATCCACCTGCAGCTGGCGGATGAGCCCCTCACACTCCTGCAGATACATGACCACGTCGGATTCGTACTGCACCGGCTGGCCTGACTCCAGGTGAGCAGCGTCCTGCACCGAGAGAGGAGACTGAGGGCTGGGTCCCTTCGGCCCAGGCAAGTGGGCAGAGAGAACAGGATGGCAGCCCACCATCGACTTCAAGACCGAAAGGACCTTTTAATCCTCAAGCTTGACCTGAGCAGAGGAACACCAGTTCATCACTCATCCCATACCCAGGACACGCCAGCTCCTGCAGATGAACTGAGAGCTGCTCGTGACAGATGGGCTCCCACGGTTAGTCCCGTGGACAGTCACTTAAACGTGCATCTCATTTCTACCCCCTACCCAGGTAGCTACAGCCTGCAACCGAGCCTTTCCTGCCAGTCTTTTAGACTAATAAAACAAATTGATGGGTTTTTTAAGCCCCATTATACAACAAGCTTTCCCAGAGCTGCAGTTCTTCCCCAAGCCAGCACCCCTGCAGCCATCCAGCCTCGCTAGCTGCATCCCCAGAGGCAGCCTGCTGCACGGCAGGGCTGATCCCCTGCCCCCCTGTCCCCAAGGTCCTCGAGCTGTAAATCACCAGGTACCCACTGCCTCTACAGCCCCTCCGGGATGGGCTCAACGTCAGAAGAGAAAGGAAAGCTGTCCAAGAGAGTCCACCACCCCAGGCAGAAGAGAGGGGCAGATATGGGCAGAAGACGCAGGAAAACAAAATGAACAAACAAAAAATTTAGGAAGGGGAAAATAACACCCCCCTACTCACAGCTTGCAGCGTGTTCTTTGCAAGAGTGAGTTTTTCTTCACAGCTCAGAGCACCGTTCTGGATTTTGTTAGCGATTTGTAGCAGCAATTCCAGCCTGCAATGACAGGGGGAAAGAGAATGAGAGAAAGGCTTTGGATGCCCCTCCAGCCCGGGGACATCCCCGCAGGGCACGCTGCCTGCCGCGAGCAGAGCACTGACCTCTCCACCGCCGGCCGCAGGAGCTTCTCGCGCTCCAGCATCTCTATGATGAGCTTGCCCCACTCCTCCTCCACGTCATTGGGGTGGTACCCCTGGGGCAACTTGATGCGTCCAAATTCAATCCATACCTGGGGAAAACATAACAGAATGGCATTTCCTACCTCCTCGAGCTGGCAAGAGAGAAATTACAGCAAGGAAAGTGGGACTATAAGGCAATAGCTCTGCCTTCGCTCCTGCAGCACGCTGCTTGCTACATCATTTACCCTGAGGGTTATTTCCACTTCTCCTTTCCAAAATAAACCTGAACTGAGCACATTTGGGGCTTGCTAAAAGCACAACACTCCCACCTACAAGCCTCCGGGTAGCCACGATGATACTTACCTCTAACAGTTTGTAGAGCTCCTCTATCCTTCCTTTTTCCTGCTCCTTTGCTGGGATTTCAGTTTCTTTGAAGTGTATGTATTGGTTATAAAGTGCCTGGGATGAGAAAGGCTCATCAGAATCCACCCTGGGGAACACCACCACTCAGCTCTCGGCACCGAGCACACTGGACGCTGCAGAGGGATACGTCCAGGACCTACCTTTAGCTCTACAGGGTTGTGGGGGAAGGATTTATCTGACATGAGTATCGTGTGCTGCTTGATCCATGAGATGAGGGACTCCACACGGCTCTGGTACTCCAACCACCTCGAATCCACCTCCTGCGGGCCGAGAGCATCCTTGCAGAGCACTGCCAGCGTGCAGGTCTCCGCTGAGGAGAGGCAGAGCCCAGCCCTGCCGACCAGCACAGCCCCGAGCAGAGCACGGAGGGAACCCAGGTGCCATCATCACAGCTACAGGGTGGACCAGTCGCCTGTGCCTCCCTGCAGCGATGCCTTCCCAGGTACAGGGAAGAGAAGGATGAGGAGGATCCTCCTTGCAAGCTGCTCCCTGGAAGCCAGCTCAGCTTTCCAATGAGCTCAACACCCGTGGCCAAACCCGCAGAGCCTGGAGAACACCGTGGCCCTGCAGGCACGCTGGCAGTTCTCAGGGCAAACACACTAACAGGGAAGCTCCTTCCTCCCCCCCAGCCTCTGCCACCCATTGGCCATCTGCTACGGCAGATGTGGAACCTCCAAACCCTTCCCACAACGTCCGGCTGCCTCCCGAGCCGCTGTCCCAGCCTCCCAACCCGCAGCGATGCTTACGATAGCGCTGATCCCTTCTCCTCCCTCAGGGACTTTGGGAAAGGCATCGTAGATTGAAGACACATAAGTTATCACGGATTTCTCATCCGGAGAGGGGACGTCCACGTCTGGCAAGGGGGAAGCAGAAAGGCAGTGAGGAACGGGAGCGGGCAGAGGGGTCAGCATCTCTCCACGCCACCTGCTTCCCCCGGCTGCTCCCCTTCGGCGTCCCGCAGCCGCCTTCGGCGTCCAGCAGCCGCGTGACCCCCAGCCGCTCAGCGATCTCAAAGGCCTGCTCCAGGTTCTCCCGGTTACTCTGGATCTGCACCCTCTCCATGTCCACCAGATCTGGCCTGCAAGACACGCATCAGAGTCGCGACGTCGGCCAAGAGCACAAGGAGCCCAGGGTGGAGCATCCCGGATGGGCACTGCTGCCTCGGGTGGCTCCCGAGGGCTCGTCTGAGCCCCTGTCCCAGGCTGGTGGCTCTCCGAGGGGACGGGGCTGCAGCACCTCCCCAGCTCATCAGGCTGTGAACGAAAACCTCTCGCGCTCCTCTGGGACCTGCCCTCTCCAGCACCCGCTCTGTACCCAGTGTGCCGGGCTGGGACTGCCAGCCCTCCCTGGAAGGAGGAGGACCAAACAGCCCCAAAGCGGGGTGGTTACACCTCTCCAGAGGACGTGGGCAGAGCCCTCTGCCCGCAGCAGCGCGGCAGGGAGGCAGGAGTCGTGGGTGCTGCCAGCCCCGTGCCGGGAGGAAACACGGCAACAGAACAACGCCAGCAAGCTGCAGCACAAACGAGCGCAGGGGAGCCAGGAAAATCCCAGCCTCTGCACACCACGCCATCCCAGCGAGGTCTGTCGCCACCACGCACCCCACCTCCTGCCTGCTCCCGCCTGCAGAAGCCTTGCCTGTCCTTCCCTGCTAAACCCTGCCCGCTCCTCCTGGCCACGAGCGAGCACAGAGCAGCACGGGAAGGCAGAGCTATTTCCAGCTACCAGGAGATGCTTTCTCACGGGGCCTTTGCTGTTCTCCGCAGGCACTCAAAGCCATGCCAAGTCCCCTCGACCTGGCAGCCGGGGCAGAATCTGACTCGCTGCCTACGCTGAGCAGGCGGAAGGTGTGTGGGGCTGTGCTGTGTCTCAAGGAACTGTGAGAGGTTTAATTGCTGCTCAGGAGAGCTCCGAGACCCTTGGATGAAAGCACGGATGGAAGTGCTGCTATTCACGGAGAGCAGAATGGGCAGCAGCGACACATGAAATGCTGCAGCACTCCCATACTCCAGAGTTTAAAAGCTTTGCTTTTTTGCCTCTCTCTCCAACCTCATTCAAGATGTTTTATCTTGCAGCCTGATGTATTTGCTGCTCTTTCCAAGCACCCACCTCCCAGCTATCTGGCAGAAAGAATGATTTCCAGGTAAAAGAGACATTGCTCCCTGCAAGCCTCACCTACATCTCCAAGCACAGACCATCACCAACCAGAGTGGTGGGCAGGGACCCCCGGGAGGTCCCCAGCCTTTCCTCCCCCCCCGCCGCTCCTTCCTGCCTACCTGTATCTGTGGATGAGCGCATTGAACATCTTCCCATCGCTCCAGCATGATGAGAAGTTGGTACACTTCACCCCGATGTAACCCGCTGTCACCTTCTGTGTCCACAGAAGCAGCTTCTCCTTGGCCGACATGTCCCCCGACTCCCCGCTGATGTAGATGTCGGAGATCTGTAAGGAAGCGGCACAGACATGGGGTGATGTGGGAGGAGGAACGACCACCAGATGCATCCAGTTTCCAGGAACTTGTCCGAGACCTGGGAGCTGCCAGGAGGAAACTCCTGGGCACCACTGGGGAGAGGGGACCCCACAGCCGACAAACTTGGGAATGGGCCATCGGACCCGCAGGAGAGCGCCGGGGTGCCGAGGCGTGGCGTGGCTCGGACAGCCTGCAGGTCCAGGCAGGCGAGGGAGGCACAGACGTTTGCCAACACCATTTCCCAGGGGCACGAGGTGTTCCTCGGCCACGGCGCAGCCCAGCCAGCACA